GTGGGGGTGCAGGGCATACGGGTGCATCGCTGCGGGAGGGCGGTGTGATGGGGCGGGTGCGGGGGTGCGGCGGCGTGGGGAAGGTTTCCGACGCGGTAAGGTAGGCGCTAGTGGAGCAACGGCCTCCTTCCTGCCAGCTCCTGCGTGGTTTGGCGTAGGGGAAATAACGGGAACCAATAAACCTGCTTGCTGTTTCCTGTTTGGTGTCAGCTTGGGTGTCAAAGCGTTAAACTCTCTGTATGTCCCGCAGCGCAGGTGCTCGGCGTAGCTGTGAAGAGCTGCACAGCTGTTTGTATCGCCTCGCGTAGGAGGCAGCACAGCAAAGTGTGTGTAAATAATCTAAGAGAATGGAAGTAGACTGAAATTGCAGTTGTAAATTTAAGACATCCACGCTTATTTCCCTCTGTGCTTGCAGGTGCATTTTTTCCTCATGGTTTATTTTACACATTACCTATTGGTATGCATATTCCCTCTCAAAAAAGTATGTAAATACCAGGTAATGTAAAAATTTATAGCAAGAAAAGAATCCCCAGTTGTTCAAAAGTACAGCTGTCATGGATGAATTTGTAGTGATGGACTGACTGTCAGCTCTCAAAAATAATCAGAAGTCTTAAAGCTTAAAAAAAAAAAACTTTTCCACCAAAATTGGAAATATTGAGACCTTCCTCAGACTGAAATCGGTAGCACACTAATCTTACCTACGGTACCAAAATAATTACAGTTATAGAAATGTAAATATGTATTCTTTTATTGTCTGTAAATATTTTTGTTGTCTGATCTAGTATACCTGAAATACAAAAATAAAGTTGTTGCAGTTCCAATCTTAATAAGCTGTGTGTCTCTTTGCTGCAAGCCTCTCAGGATTCCTGAATCTCATTGTGTGGCTTAGGAAATATAGGAAATATTTGAAGCCAGTGTTCCTTAAATTTAACGTGTCAGCTTGATCAGTTACAACGTCTAGAATATTCAAAATGATTTGTCCATTGTTCATTAGACCTTTTTACCCTTGTACATTGGTTAACGTGAAGCTTTTTCTGTTGGGTCAGGTGGATGAAAATTTAAGAGGCAGATTTGCTGTTTTGTTGGTAAAATTTGTTACTTCCAAAAAGATTATAAGATAAAAACCGGCGAATTGGGTTTGCCAAAATGCGTTGTGTTAGGGCAGTTCGGTGTCTCTTGTTCAAAGAGTAACTAATCTAAAGGATGATGGAGATAATACTCGATGAGTATAGAGAGTGTGTTCAAGCAGTCATTTTCAGTATATCACCAAGTGTTTGTCCGTAGTGACCTAGGCGTACCTGATTGTGTCTCAGCGTAAGAGAGGAAACAAGATCATCTTTTGACGTTTCTTTCAGCGTTATAACACGTCAACTTACGAGTGTGATCCCCTTAGTATGCTTGGTTTGAATCGTCCATTGTAACTGTCGGTGTAGTGCTAAATAGCACTTGGCACCTTTGTGAGATCAGGACTTGCTGGTTAGTGTTTATTGCTGAGGAGGGAGGCTATGTGGCTCATCTTCTGTTCGTGTAGTACAAGAGACTCCTGCTTTTGTGGCCTCTTTCCTGCTACTTTAACTGTGGCTGCATTGACCGTGAATGAGATCAGGCTGTTATATAAATTAAACCTGTGGACATGTGGCCATTGAAGTCATCGTTAGTGTTGCCATGGCTTCATTTTCATCAGTGTTGGAATTTTTATGGGCAATTTTGGTTGTTCCCAATCATTAGGAATTTTATTTCCACAATATATGACTATATGAAGAAATTCTATTCTTCCTGAGTACCTAATAACTCAGTTGTTGCCGTTTCATTGATTTTGTTTTCTTTTCCGTGATAAATCAACAGAAGTGGATTTGTAGAGGAAGAGGAGAGGATACTGGCTGTACACGAATCTGATTGGAGTTGTCCTCAAACATTTGCGAATGAAATAGACTAGTAGTTGCTGCAGTGTGAAAGGAAGAAATATAATGCCTTGGGGAATGTGAGTGGGACTTGAAGACTCGTGTGCTGTAAGGACATGCTCAGTTACCAGTAATATGTTCTCCATCACAGATGTGACTTTGTTCCTTGTCCTCTAGTGGTGTGTTGTGTTGTGTGTCTGAGTTAAAAGAGCAGCTTTCATTTCTGCACCAAATCCCACTTGAACAGGAAACTCAAGAGGGCTCAGGGTCTCCTGTTGCTGCAGACTGCTCAGATCATGCAGTTTTTGCATTTGGGTGAGTCCTCATTAAGCATTTACCCATTTGGTTTACTTATTTCTCTTTTTTAGGTCAGCACCCAGCCTGAGGAGGCTGGGAACAAAGGAGGGACAGGCTATGTCTCTCAGTAAGTCAAATTTCTGGCAATGCCATTGCTATAGTATCAGCAAAAATCATTTGACTGCTAGCGAAGCATGTTCTTGGCTTTAAGTTCCATGGGGTAAATTATTAATCATCTGAATAGCTGTAAACCTTGGAGGAGACTGGAATTCTTTCTTAAAAGCAAACCAAAGGAGAAAATCTCCTTGAATACATATCTTTGTTAGTATTGTTTTCTGTATTAATTATATTCGGGGAGTACTCGTAATCTTGCAAACCTGTGTTCAAAAACTGGCCATCTACATCTGTTTAGAGTGAGGTTCTACAAAATGAGATCCAGGCCTGAGAGTTTGCCCTGAACCCGGTGTTATTCAGTGTGAGTGCTAGTAATTAGGAGAAGAAAATCACTTTTGCAGCTATGAAGAGAGGAGTAAATGGCTACCTGATGGCACAGCAGAGAGATGGTGGTGCTATGGATCGTGAAACGAATGGGAGGCAACAACATGTTGCTGTGGCAAAAACAGGCAGAAGATGTTTTGAGGCACAGCATTATAGGTAAGGCATGTGAGATAAATATTTTATAGATCTCTGAACTTCAGATGGGGAACTGCGTCTGGCTTGGAGGACACACTTAAGTGAGGACATACACAAAACTGGACATTGCCCAGAGGAGAGTGAAAATGAAAATAGATATAAAAACTTAGGGAGAAAGCTTAAAAGAATGCTTTTGTTTAACCTAGATAGAGCTAGATGAAGAGGGGACGTAACAGCAGGATTCATTTCTGAAAGCTTGTTGCAGACAGGACAGTAGTCAATTGCTCTTCGTATCCACCTATGAAAGGACAAGAAATAGTTGTATTAATTTGAATCAAGCAAGATTTACATTACCTGTGGAAAAAAGCTTTCTTATTAAAAGAACAGTAAAATATTGGAACAAATTCTCAATAAAGGAGTCCCTGTCTTTGGGGAGATAGGCATATCTTTTTATGAGCAAGTCAGAACAATATCTATCAGAGATGACCTAAATATATTCCTTTTTACTTTAGAAAGGAAGGACTGATGAGATGACTTGCTCGTCTCTCTTCCAGCTCCACATTTTTTTAATGATAAATTTTCCATGATTCTATGAAGTAGATACCCATGACAAAACATTCCATCTTGCAGATATCTGCCAAACATATGAACAATGATTTTATAGCTAAGGTTACTTTAGTTCTTGTTTGATTCTGGAATGGATTCACAAAGAGACAGTGGTTAAGTCATTTCTGTTCTTCAGTGCCCTGAATATGTGGAGGTTTGTGAAGCAGGCAGGCTTTCTGGCAGTATTGGAAAGCTTGTTGAACCCAATGCAAAACTGCGATTTTTGCAATGAGATTCTTACAGCCAAACCTTTGTTATCGCATGTGGATCTTCACTGAAGGTGTTAGGGGTCTGTCTGTATGTGTCGTTGCAGCCTTGTGGTATAAGAGAAGTAGCAAATGCAACTGCTCGGTAAGGGGAATACGATCATAGCCTGTAAATTTACATGTGTAACTTTTTGTTTTGTTTACCATCAAACACTAAAATTGTACAACGCTTCATGGAAAAGCAGCTAGGGAATATAGCAGAAGAGTCTATCTTTTTGAGTAAGTACAACAGTACCATCTAGAGATAGAAGAGTGAGAGAGAAAACAAGTGGTTTAAATGTCAAGTGTCTCTTTAAAATTGATTCATGTCAGCTTTAGAAAACAATGATGATAACTCTGTAGTTTCTTTGGAACCATGGTGGGAGGATGTGAAGGTTTGCAACATGGAGGTGTAGGGGCTTATACTAATATCTGCAGACATCTACTTGTGTGATGTTAAGTAGTTTAAATGTTCAGGGGCAGAATTGGCAGAAAATCCTGAAGTGAACTTTGTTGCAGCCCTGTGGAAACAACGTTTTATGTAAATTATAGGAGGCTCTACACTGAATTACTAGGGACCTTTCTTGGTCACAACCCAGTCGTTCCAAGAAAATGCAGAGGCAGATGGAAGCCAGTGCTACTCATCACTCGGCCTTTTCTCTTACTTCCAGGTCTTTACTCGCTGTGGCTGCTCCGTTTGCAAACCCCGACAGAGGCAGCAGCGTCTGTAAGATCCCAGTGTGAGGTAAGAGCGTGCTTACCCGGTCCTAAAGCAGCAAAATACATGCTCCACTCTGGGGTTGTGGGCTGGTACAAGGTAACAATCTTGAGGAGGGGGTGAATTATCACCTGCATCCAAAAAATCATCCTTTTTTTGAAACAGATCATTTCCTTATAAATGTCCCGTGGCTAGAAAAAGCAGTGTATTCCACGTGCCACGTAGTTTGTTATTTGTAAGATAGAACGGACAACAAAGACTTGTGACAGATGCTCTTTCCATCGCTCCTAGCTAGAAGTACATGCTCGCCTACTTTATGCACTCTCAGCAAAAGCATTACAGGTCTTATGTTTGCATTCAGTTACTGTGCTTCTGGATCTTCTTTTTGGTGTTCATATGGGCAGTACTTCCTTTGCATGAAGGAGACATTTCATATGCAGACCTGCCAGCTGGGAAGTACGTGAACTGATAATGTGGCCTTTATGTGTGTAAAGATCTACCACCCATTTCTATCTTTTGAGTGGGATCATGTGGGATCATGATCATGTAAAAAATGGCAGGCATACAGTGGGAATCAGCACATCTTGCCCTCGTATTTTTGACAACGTGGTTTACTATTCTTCTCTGTTCACCCTCTGAACTAATGGGACTTCTGTTGCACAGCAGGTAATCAATGAGAGTCGTGAAAGTGAGCTGATGTGGAAGGGAGAAAACAAGACCATTTTGGATTCAGAGACCCAAAGAACGGTCCTAATGTGCACACAGCAAATCACTGGTCATTCCTGAGAGAAAGCCGGAGGACTCTGGTGCATATCGCTGCTCGGTATGGGCCAGGGTTGGATATGTCATTCAGCAGGCAGATGTCCTCCTTGCGGTGTCAGGTGAGGTAACAGGACCAAAAGTGAAATTTCATAAGCTAAATATCCTTAGCTTATGACTAAAGACTAAAGCTTATGACTACGACTAAAATATAAAGATATTTGTAAAGTCTTTAGACTTTACAAGAGGACTTCACAAAAAATGGGAGCATCGAGTGTCTGGAGCACTGAGCTTTTGCTCTCTTCCAGCACAAAATGTAGTGGTTTAAATAAAACAGTGACAATTTTGGTCAATGTCCAGAGCCAGTAGCTTGCAATTGCTTTGCTGAACTTCCCAGGCTCCTGCTTGTGACACTGAGCTCAGTCGTTACTATTCGCAGCTTACTGCAGTCTCCGTTCCCTTCCATTCTCATGCTTGAGAGAAGCAAAGATACAATACACTTGAATTACAGTTTACTTTTCCCTTGTGTCTGTAGTCAGCCATGACTGCCTGCACTGGTTGCCTGGGCTGAAGTGGTCTTCCACTGCTATGTATCCTGGGTGAAAGTGCAATCTTGCTCTGTAAAATCCAAGTCCGGATAGATGGAGCAAGACCTGTAGATTTAATCTTTCCGAGATGTTTGTTTTAGCAGAGAAACATGCTTGTAAAATACTTCTATTTCATTAATTCCCTAAATTTTAGTTAAGATTATGATTTACTAAAAGGTAAACATGTGCCAAAATGGTAGCATTTTGAAAAGCCCCTGGCTGAGTGTTTGAGCTGCAGGCAGTGCACATCAAAAGCGGTGCTTTCAGTCTCCTTTGTAGGGAGTCCTCTTCAGGTGGTTAAAAGGAGCCCTGTTGTTGTTGATCAGGTCATATCAGTGAGTCACAGCTGCTCACACTTGTTGATTTGCACCCTGCACTTTTGTGAACTGTTAGTCACTTTTGAGGCAGAAAGGAAAAAGATTGGAATGTGTGGTTAAATAATAATGGACATAATTGTATAGTTACTGTTTTTAACCCCTGTAATATCTATCATCTAGAGTGTTTGGAAAACAGTCCTATCAGTATAGGACTGAGATAGATGTCACCTCCTTCGGCAGTCATATCCGGATATATCTGAGTTAGAAATCAGTGAATTCTAGTCACCAGGAGGCTGCACAAGAAATAATCTATTTGTCTGAAAACTGAGGAGGGAGCTTAGGAAGCAAAACTGTGCCTGTGCTGTAGTTTGTCCACAAAACTATGATAATTATCCCTGTTTCTGAGAAAGGTGCCTATGGATTTTCAAGGATTGATTTTCAATAAATAAATTCCAAGTCCCAGCAGCAGGCGGGCTATTCTTAGAGGTCTCCTATCAAGCGCTTGTAAGAGCTAACGGATGCCCCGGTAGCGTGGATGTAGGTGAGGAGGTTGATACTAGATGGGTGTTCTGCTACGCTGGCACAGCTTGGTTATTTTAGATCATTTGCTGGATAAGGGGAAGGGGAGTCGATGTTGCATAAACCAGCAGGATGGCACAATTAGCTCAGTGGGGTGTTCTGTTCAATGGTGATTAACGACAGCAATAACCCACGATAAGCATCTGGCTGTCAGATTAAGCCATGGAGTTGTAAAGTGTGGAATACCGGAAGTCCAACGGACACGTGCTTAGAAATAGCATCAGAGCTGAGTCACAGCCAGGAAGAGTAGAGTAAACCTATACTTAAAACCTATGTCTTGCAATGAGCCTTCTTCCCATGCAGGTTTTTCAGCACACAGGCCAGGCACCTTCCCACATCTGAGCCTGTGCCCCTTTCATTGCCTTTTACGTGATTTTTATGGCAAGCTTTTTGAAGCAGGAACTTTGCCTTTTTAGTTTTCGTGTAAAGGGGCACACATGTATTTACAATTGTAGAATAACGTCAAGCTCAAAGAGTTAATTTCACTCATCCCACAGTTGCAGGTTTAAACTTCATATGTCTCTGGATCCAGCGAGTCTGATCTATTCTTGCCTGGTGCTGCCGTGTCCTGGCCAGACCTGCCATTAAGACCTCCTGTAATACAGATTGTTGTTTGACCCATAGATAAGTCAAGATGAAATAATTAAACAGGGAAGGGAAATCTGCACAATCAAATTCTGACTAGCCCTCCAGTGCGACTTGAGAGTAACTTAATTTAAATGGGTCGATACTCACACAATTGAAGGTACTATTTAACCTGCTAGCTCAAATATATTAAACAAGTCTTTACCCTGAAATCAGATGCAGAGAAAAGAGGAAGTAAATCTGTCAGTACATTTAATTTTTCATTTACTCTCAATGTGAGTCTCTAGTGCAGGCAGGCAGTTTGGACCTGTGATTTGAAGGCTCTAGTGAGATTACAATGCTCTCTTTGCCTACAGTGAAATCTCATCCTTAAAACCCTATGACTTTTACCTTCCCAGAGTGTTCCATTGTGCATCCAGTCATTTCGACTGAGCAGACCCTTCTGGTGGATTCAGAGCAAGGAAGCAGTAGGAGCTCCGATTCCATCTGCTGCAAAGGGGAAGTAATTCCTGTGCCTATTGTCTCCTGGGTCTCTTGGCATTCAGCCTGGTGAAAGGGCTGCTCAGCATTGTTCTTAGTCTGGTGAGTCCCTGTCTCTGGCTCAAATTGCCTTGTTTTTGCCATAGGTTACACTCAGTCCATCCCAGTTCCTTTGGTGAGGCGATGGGCGGTGCAGGAGATCGGGCTGGTGTGTGTAATAGCTTCTCTCTCCGGCTCCTCCGTGCTTCTTGTTGCTGCTCCAGTGTGGGTCACCCACAGCCGCAGTCCCTCAAGGGTGCATCCTTTGTCATGAAACACTCCTGGAAGGAAGCACATCTCCAGCGATACATCTCCTCAGCCACCTCTCCTTCCATGTGTCTCCTCCGGCATCTCCGTGTGTTTCTCTGTACGTCTTTCCTCATGTGTCTCTTCCCCTCGCGGCTGCTGTTTTTTCTTCAGTATATCTTAGCAGAGGCACCGCAGGCCCCTCTGACGGGCCGCTGTTTTGGCGTGCAGTAGGTTGCTCACACTGGTTTCAGAGCTGGCTGGGACTGGCTGTAATGGGTACACAGCAGTGCGTAGCCTCCTCCTGTAAAGACACCACCTCAGTCCCCTGCTACCTGAGCGCTGCGATTTATGCCCAAAAACAGGGCTCATGAGTAAACTGATAAAGCGCTCATGCAAGTGCTGGTTGGCCACTTATGCATGCAATAATTGGGTGCTCATGCCTAAACTGTGGGCGCTCATGCGTGTCACGACTGGGTGCTCATGTATGAACTAATTTGGTGCTCATTTGTGAAGTACTTGGGTGCTCATGCCTGAACACTGTATACCCTGCAGTTTATGCTCAATAGTCTCAGCATAACTATCAGGAGTATGAGTAAAGACGGGGGTCAGGACTGCGATTTCAGAAGGAAAGCAGTTCGCAGAAACTGATCTGAGGGCACCTTAAGGTGTGTCTCTAGTTGGGTTGGGTGAATGCTTACACTGAATGCTTTCTGCTTTCCTGTATGTGTGCGTAGACCCTCTCTTTGTGTTGCACTGTGGTAACGTTGGATTCAGGGAGAGCGTAAAGGAGAAGGACCACGTGGGGAGAGAGGACCAAATTCATTTGCTGAGGCTTTGAACTCGGTGCCAAATTTGGCAGTTTCCATTAGTAAAATTGAAAAAACTGGAGCATACTGGTTATGAATGGAATTAACAAAAGAAATATTGGATGTAGAGCCAGTTTTTTGAATACTGGATGTGCAAAAATCTGCAAATAGCAGCTTGTGTTTGAAACAGTAGCATTAGGAACAAAGGGAATTTACATTTGGAATAGGGGAATTAGCCAGCAATGCTGCCTGGATGAATACAAATTTTCGTCTGCAAATATGTATACCTTAATTTCAAAGATGATGCAGCCAGCTGAGATGACCCTTAAAGCTGACGTTATAATTCAGGAGCTAGCTGCACGCTTTAATGGATTTCTTTTCAGGCAGTGGTTGGTGTGAAGGAACAGAGAAGGGAAAGGTTGAGGTAAGACTTCTGAGGCAGATATGTGAAGATGATGGCAGATATCTTTTCAGAAGACAGGAAGTGGGGAACGACATGGAATTTTTTTGCAGGGATCAAAAGTGGCCGTATTTGCAGCTTGAACTTGCAGCACTGTAAGTTGGATTAGAGTTCAAATGAATCAAAAACCTTTGAGAGACCTGCAGCCTTCAAACCACACCCAAAGCAACTTTATGTAACAACTCTACCTGTTCTTCATGCCTCTTTCTTCCCCTTTGCCTCCCACTCTTTGAAATTTCTATTCGATGGGTCTTGGTTTTGCTTATATTGTAAGGGCAAGGACTAGCTTTTGTGTTTGGGCAGAATCTAGCCTAGCAGCCCAGTGCACCTTACTGCAATACAGATAATCTCTGCTATTAATCAAAGTTCCCACAATTTCCTGAAGCATCTGCTTTCCGAGCAATGACGGGTTGTTGCTGTATGTTCTTTCAGAAGACGCCCTGTCTTCCAGAATATCTCAGTTGAGAGCTCTAGTCTTAAAAAAAATGCGTCAAATTTTTCCATCTACGTGAGTGAATCATACCCACTCTCCCTCAGTTTTAAGATGAAAGTGGTGTGAAGCAGGTCATGCTGCAGTATGAGAAGTCATCTCTCTGCCCAGAAACATTTATTATTGCTATTTTTTTAAGTATAAGAATTTACAAAACTGATGATACAAGATCTGTGCACATTTAAGTGGTATGTTTCTCTAAGGCAGTGAGATAGAAGAGGAGGATACCATTCTAAACTGCTTTGTCGCTGGGTTAGCACTTTTTCTTTCCTACAGTGTGATTTCCACTTTCTCTGCAAATCTCAATAAAGCAATTACCCTGAAAGCGTATTCTTTCACATACTTTCAAAAATGCTTGCTAGGAATTAGGAAAATACACCCACTCTTTTGGCATTACAAATGCCTTATGAAGGATTATGAACTCTTGGGTGAGGAACTGACCAAAATGACCAGGAGGAAAAGAACACAGTTTGGATAATATGCATGGGAAATTTGCCTTTTTGAGCCCTGTATCTTACGGAGACGCTGGCAGAGTCCTCTGTGTTAGGACCTGAGAAAAATTGTCACCAGAATGCTTTTGGGTGTCAGAGTACAGAGGGGATCAGTCACAGCCATATGCAAGTACAGGTCAGTGGGGATTCCCATAGAAGAGCAGTGGTAAAGAATTTGGAAGTTACTGTCTTCCTTTGTACATTCAGGCTTTTCAGTTTCCTCCTTCTGCTTCTTAATTTTGTCTTCCATGGCAGCGTGTAACAGCTCTGAATCCTGCTCATGTGGTCGTCGTGAGTGGAGAAAGATCGCTGGAGTGGCTTTTTAGAGAACAGAATTACAATAAGACGTGGGAGGTTCTTACAAGTCACCTGTGAGCTGCTTCCTCCCGTTCCTGAACCACGTCTCCTGGGAGGAACTTTAAATTGCCGTCTGGCTTAGCCTGGGCAATTCATACCTGCAGTATGAAGTCAAGAAGCATCTTCCTGCTGGGGCTCCTCACCCTGTGGGCAGAACTGCAGGCTGCACCCACAAAAGGCAAGTAGGGGCGTGTTTGAAACACCCGCCCTTTGTAGATTTTAGAGTATTTTTTATAATTTCAGTGATATGTGTTTCAGTGTCTGTTTTAATTCTTATATTTGTGAAAGATTTCTGTGAAAGGTTGTGACCCTTGTGGGTTTTAGCCCTTATTTAATGTTCTTTGAGTTCTGCAGAATGTTAAAAATCAAGCAAATGCCATTAAGAATGCCGTCTTTGTGGCATCTTTCTGCCACAAAAAATTTTTTTCACCTTCTTTAACTTCCTTTGGAAGTCATTTGTTCTGGTGCCATCCACTATGACCAGGGTTTCGCTTGCCCTGAGCACAGCAATGATGTAAGCCTGATTTTTCTCACTGGCCCTTGCAGCTGATGGTCAGAGTGGGTTTCTGGTATTGCATGGTATCAGGAGGTTTTTCTCCCTGAGACTTTTTTCTCTCGAGGCAGAGCTCCTGTCTGTGTCTGCAGGTGAGCATGGGGAGCGTCTAGACTAAGGAGCGAGGGACAGAGACTGCAACGGTACCAAAAATACAGGCCTAGAGATGCTTGGGAGGTGGACCATTTGTCTAATTAGTGACTGGAGCAGAGACCAGTAGAAATGTCTCCCTCGTCAGAGCCCAGGAGTGCTGTGGGCAGGTCCAAAACAGGGGCCAGACAAGAAATGATTTTCTCTCTAGCAGGAAGTGCTTGGGAAGGACTGTGCTGGCTGGACAGAGCAACTTCCAGCCTGAGGAGCAGGTCCTTACGTGAGGGTGGCTGCGAGCTTTGTGAGGGCTGATTTGCTCTGGGCAAATGAAAATATGCAGATTGTTAAAGCCTGAATTCCAGCAGGTTAAATTCTGGGGCGTCGTCCACATTTGTGTACCTTGGACACCAACCACAGCTCAGCCTTACATTTGTCGTCTGTGCGTGCAGCTGTCTCCTGCCCCCTTTGTTTCATGACAGATTTCATAGCTGTACTCCCTAATGACCTCTTTGGAAACAGACAGCAAACTAGAGAAGCAGGTCTGAAAGAAAGGAAACTCTCAAAAAAAATTATTTTCCCTTCCCCTATTTATTCTCGGGAAAAATTGTGAATTCTCTGAGAAATGAAGATTGCATTCTTTCAAAAGGAACGGTGAAATTGTTTTTAGAGCGATGTTTAAAATATTACTGATTCACTCTTTTCAGAATGCTTCTGTAATTGTTTCAGGTTAGGCAATTTTATTTTGAAAATTAAACTACTAGGCAATAGCATTTCCCGTGCGATGTGAGTCAGATTTGCTGTTGCTCTGTAATTCCGTGTTGGGGTCATTGCATTCTAATGAAAATGTGTCTATAGAAATATCATGGTCGTTTTCTAAATTTTTTTCTCTAGAAACTTGAGTTTCTTTTGGTCTTAGTTTATATGCTGATTTTAAGCCTGACAATATGACCGTTCTTTTGTCAGCAAGTCAGTAATGTTGGTGCCTTCTGTTTCTAACTTCTGAATACCATTCCCTGTTTTAGAGATACCGAGAGGCAAGCAGTATGTGTCAGGAACGTGCTGTGCAGTGCAGCTCTGTTTCTCATTGGGTTTACTTGTTACTGCATAGCAGGAAAGCATGTATACTTATTTCATTAATATACTTAGCAATATATTTATGCCCTGGTTAAACTAAAACATAGTGTATTTCTTAAAGATAAGTAAAATTTTTTTGCTAAAAAGTTACTGAGGTCAATATTTCAATTTTCACTTATTTCCTCTGCCCTCTCCCAAAAGCTTCCCAGAGAAAAAAACAGACAAATTTTCTTGACTTTTTTTTTGTCCATATTTTGAAAAAGTTTTGGACTTTCTTCATCTTCAATTTGGGCTCAGAAGGCTTTTTGCCTGCAGGAGGGGAGTCATCGGATGCTATGGGACCAACTGGCAGCAGATGGTGTGATTGCTGCTCGCTGGGAACGGTGGAGATGGGAGGCTAGTGGGATGTGGTGGGAGGACGTGGGCTACAGGTTACTGCAGAGCTCCCAGGGCTCTCCCTGCTCTGGACGCTGCCTCCTCTCATGGGCGAGACTTGAGGATGCCTCACTGGGAGCAAACACATGCAGCCCCCGGCCGGCTGGGACACATGCCGGCCCCAGACCGCTCTCCCCGGGTGCAGGGCTCGCGGCTGTGTCCGCAGCCGGCAGCAGGGGAAGCACCTCTCTGCAGGCACAGACGCCTGGGGGCGAAGCGCCCGTACTGGCATCTCTAAGGATCTGCCGGGCAGGATGTGGGCCGCTCATCCTGCCAGGCAGAGAGGCTGGGTGCTGCCTCTGGAGGTTGCTCTGGCTTGGCAGGTCGGCAAGTGTATGGCTGCTGTTCCCTGTGCGTTCTGCAAGGCTGCAAGTGCTTTGAGCGGCCCCGTTTCTGTGACCTGGACTGCGGCCCGGTCCAGTCAGCCTGCCTGGCCTCATGGCCCTCCCGCTCTGGCTGGGGCAGCCTCGTTCTTGCTGAAGAGCCCTGTTAGCACAGGGATCGGGTTTTGCCGCCAGGGCGGGGCAGCTCTGCACCTCTGCTCTGGCAGAGGGTCTGATCCTTTGTGCCCTTTGTGCTGTGCTTTCTCTAACCCCAGGCTTCTCCCTCTACAGCAGGAGTCACGTGCAAGTGTTTGCCCAAATGCAGAGATGACAGGGACTGTCCGGCTGAGCACATGTGCAGCAGCTCCCAAGGAAGACTCATCTGCAAACCTGTTACTGTTGGCGGTAAGGCCCCCTTTTGATGCCGGGATTCATTCACCACCCTGAGATGCATCTACTGGGACACACCTTCCCAAAGAGACATCGACTTGGCCCCAGGTGGACTCTTTCCTTTCTGGGCTGTACAGCAGCAGTGGGATAGATCTAGGCTGGAAAATCCACTAGGAAAAGCTCATAGGAGAATGCACGTGCAGCACTCTGTAACAAACTCAGCTACTGTAAGCGCAGGAAATTGTTCTGCCCTCATTGCACCAGCCGCAGTGTTAAAATACCAAGTTCAAGGGCTTGGTTCATCAAGGGGCAAATTACTGTGGGCCTTGCATGTCTAAGGAGTCCTGTACCATACTGTAGGGCACTGAGAGATAGCAGCTCCTCGGAGCAGCACGGCTGCCCGTCAGAGGGGTAACGCAGGCCGCGCAAGGGCAGAGCCCTTCCCGTGGAATAGCCATGTGTGCTCCAGCGGTTGCTCTTCAGGAGCAGAGCTGATCTCTTGGACTGCCTTCAGTGAGAAGGACACAGAGGTTAGCAGTTAGGCAGTAAATAGCAGCACTGCAGTAACTCTCCCCACCTCTGGGCAGAGGACAGGTGCCAGTCGCTTCAGCCACTGCATTTCTGCAGGGTGCGGAAAGGGCTGGAAGAGAAACGGGTCAGCAGTGTGTCTGGTGCTTGCCTCTGCCCCGGGGACAGGCAGGCAGCCCTGCACACACAGCCTGCTGCAGAGAGGAGGCCCCACTGCAGGCTGGAGGCGTGCAGCGGGCTCTGACACTCCTGTTTTCTCTTCCCGTTTTAGGGATCCCAGGAGCAGCCTCTCCTGTCCCTGCTGGTGGTGCAGAGAGACCACAGGAAGAGATGCCAGCAAGCGCTTTGCCGGGGGAAAGCCCTTCGTTAAGGGAAAAACCCGTCTCTGTTTCAAGCCCTGAGTCCAGCACAGTCACCCCAGCCAAGAAGCCAGGGTCAGGTGAACATCTGGTGTCTAAAGAGAAGCTCCCACCTGGGGAAAAGCTGGTTACTTCTGTGACACCTGCAACAGAGGAGAAACTGTCTGGGGTGAAGCCCACATCAGGGAACAAACCCACACTGGTTGAGAGACCGGAGACTGGGGGGAAGCCAGAGACTGAGGGGAAGCCAGCATCCGAGGGAAAGCCAGAGTCGGGAGAGAAGACAGAGTCTGACCAGGGTGACAGTGGAGAGGATGATGACAACGATGATGACGACGATGATGATGGTGGTGATGATGATGATGAGAAAAATCAACACAACACTTATGATTATGATGATGATGATAACAACAACTATGACTATGGGGATGATGATGACGGTGACGATGATGATGATGATGACGGTGACGATGATGCTGATGGTGGTGATGACGGTGACGATGATGGTGACAACAGTGATGACAATGGCAGTGATGGCGATGATGCCTGGTGACCAATGGCCATGGGCTGTGTGTGGGGTGAGGAAAGCCTGCGGCAGGTGGGCGTGTGGGGCAGGCCAGCGGTTTGGGACAGCTGCCCTCGGCCCTCCTGCTCTGCCTCCTCCCTCTGCCTCGCTCTGCCAGGGCTGGTCCCAGGCACCAAAGTCATTTTGGGCAGGACCTTCTCTCTCTCTTAATAAATCCCCTGTTGGGCTCTTCACTTGGAGCGCAAGCTATCCCTTTTCATGGTGCCTGGCATGGCCAGGCCTTCTTCAGGGTTGTCCCAGCCATACTCTGGGGACACAGGGAGCACCCCTACTTGCTCCTGGCCAGCATGGGCTCTACAGGGTCCCAGCCCATGGCCCATGACACAGTGATGTGCTCCTGGCACACATGGGCATGAGGTGAGAGCCACATGGGCACCTCAGGCGAGTCACGTGTGTAGTACCAGCAGCATGGCATCTCCATGCTGGAAAAAGCCTTCCTGTGGAGCCCTCCATCCGACCGGCTCCCTGCAGCTCCCCAGCGTGAGTGGCTATGTGGGTGAAGCCTGCCGACCGTCCTCTGAAAGAAGCTGCCCAGGCAGGGCTTCAGTCAAGAGCTGCACGAGCTCTGCCGCCTGCGAGGTCCCGGAGTGGGCAGCTTGGCACAGGCTCTCTGCTCGGGCAGCGGGAGCTCGTGTGCCCCTCAGCCTGTGCTTGCAGCACCGTGACATGCTGGTAGCAGGGTCTGGTGTTGGGGGACCGAGGCATGTGCCGTGTCAGATGGGCATCCCTTCATCAGAGCTGCGGGAAAGGCTCGGCACTGCCCTGCCCTGGGGAAGGCGTTCCCAGGGGAAGCTGCATCCGCAGGGACAGCTCTGACATGGTTCCCGTAGCCCAGGAGAGGGGATGGTTCGACATGGCTCACCAGGATCCCTCACCTCCCTCCTCCCAGCCCACTGAAGTACCCCAAGATGAGGTTGCCCTCCGGTTTTGTGGTGGTGCGGGTGCTGGGGCTGCGTCTACTCGGCTGCAGCTGAACCCCAGTCCCTGGAGGATCTCTGCGTGGGAAGGGATGCGAGTTCCAGCTCTGAGCACATGGCATCAGATAAATCGTTCCTGGCTGCATCCAGGCTGAACTAGAAATGCCCCCAATATTTAACCACCCCCAGACAATAGGGCAGGCTGTCCGGGCGGGGGAACGAGCCCCGTTCTGCGGGGCTGGGGCAGGACTCGTGTGCAGGGCCCCGGGGAGCTGGCGGCTGCCAACCGCACAGTGCACGCTCAGCATGGGCCAAGGGAGGTGCCACCTCTGGGGATGGCACCTCTGGGGGTGCCACCTCTGGGGATGGCAGGGGCAGGACATGACTTGGATCCCAGTGTGGGCCGTCGGCTGCC